CTCGCCTCAAAGACAGAAGAACACCATTGGTTTGGTGTTAGAGAGGGAGAGACCTGAAGATGAACTGGATGGGTTAAGGTTATACTTGCAATTTTTGTTACATTTTATCCAAACAGCAATATTGTGGGAGAGGGAAAACCAGTAGACAAGTACTATAACATGTATAAAGCTACTAATTTTTCAAAAGGACAATTTATAGGTGTAATTAAGATTAATTACTATACATGTACAGCATCTGATCAAGGTCACTGTGCCTAATTAACAGGGACTACCAAGGATTTGACACCGAGTACAGCCAACAACTGAAATATTTGTTCTGAGAATTCGTGCATTATCTCAAACATAAATCTGGTTATACTTTTCATCATCGCACACATCATTTTGAAACATGTGCCTTGCATAGTTGACATGTATAGCTTTTAGAGCTGATCTAGGTACCACAAATTTTCTTTATTTTAATTTTTGATTGAGGAATTCTATAATTTTTTTAAAATTATTTTATTTTTTGCTATTTTTCAGTATTTTCTTATTATGTTAAATGTGCCCTTTAATTTTTGTTCAATTTGTGTTTAACATATTCAAAAAATTTATAAAAAATATTTGTGGTGATATTAATTAGGGCTAAACCATTCAGCAAAATAGGGAGGGATGTGCAGTCATGATTTCTAGCAATTTAACTAATCTAATCAGGTTAATTGGTAAACAAATTAACAATTATAGTGTCAAATCATTCAATTCTCTAAATTACACCTGCTTTTGATTTTCCTTTTTTCTACCATACATTCTAATTAGGTGATTACTATTAACTTGTATAAATGGTTTAATCTGTATGCATAGATGACCTTTCCCAACCTATGCAGTGATCTTTCATATTCTTAGTCTATGTTGCCATTTTATGCTGTGGTCTGCCCCACATATATAATGATATCCCACATACCCTATGCTATGATCTTCCCGTTCATACATATAGAGGGCAAGCAAGAATGTTTTGTAGATTCCAATCGATCTTCAATGCTTGTATTTAAAAGCACTATTCAATAAATGTTGAACATTAAACATACGTTGTGTGCAAAAAAAAATTAAAACCATGTCACCACATTGTTTTTACTTATCCATAGGATGAGAAACATGTGCTTTCAAATTTAACGATTTGCACTCTTAAAGATGGTATATTTTTTCAGGTATTATGTTGAAGGCACAACTGATTCCTTGTATGAGAAATGGTTCCACTGTACAGATTTGGGAACTCAGTTAGTTCCAGTCATCAATGCATTCTTTGAATCAGAGCAGTATAAAACAGGAAAACCTATCCCTGGTAAGACAATATGGACGTAACTTGTTTTTCTTGAACTGTTTCATAAAAAAATTTGACTGGTATATAGTGGCTGTTATATTCCAATTTATTAAGTGCGTTTTTGGTAATTCCTCGTAATGTTGAATGCTTATAAGTATATTTGTTTGTGCAATGCTGCACAGTTAGTTATCATCTGGCATCAATCAAAATCGTATTTAATTTTCAACTGTTTCAATCTTTAGGTCTTTAAAGAACTGAGAAAGATAGTATTTCTCAGTTTACAGTTACTGCACAGTTATTCTGCATAAGGAACATGCAAGCACTCTGGGGAATGCACGTTTGAATGCAATATGATTGGTGCATAAATTGACGCTAATCTGTTAATACTGATCTTGCTCGCTGAAAGTAGGGACGTGCCTTAATGTACTTGATGACAAAAGAGCTAGGCTTTAGTTACATACTGGAGTGTGTATGTAATGAGAGGGAATTACAATTATTGAATCTTACTCATTGTGACTTTTTATTTCTCTTAGAGGAGCTACCTGATAAACCACCGGTGGAATTAGATTCAGATGTATCAGTTGAAATGCCATTCTCGTTGAGAGGATGGATAGAAAAGAATAAAGAAGAAATTCAATCTAAAGGATATAAGAAGATATTTGCTGATCATTACCAGCATTCTGTGAGTCTTCTATTAGTTTTATACTAAATACATGTAACAATAATAAATTGTTTGAGGAAATGCTCCCATATTGTATGTGTACACATCAAATTTATATTATTTCCATTCATTTACCACTATGTGTCTTTTCTTTGTAGATAACAGTGTGGGGTAGTGGTGAGGAGAAGGGTGGTAGCGATGTTGCAGAGATCTGGATGTGGCAATTAGTGAGTAATTATATTATTCATCTCAGCATACAATGTAAGGACAACAAGCAGCCTGTCGGCTGAGATAGCTCCGCTGTTAGCAATGCACATTTCAATTAAAGAACAGAAGATATCATTAGAAATGAACAATATGTATAGTATCAAAGCAATCAGACTTGCTGTTTTCAACAAGAAGTCGAAAATATCACTCTTTACCAAAAATGACAAAAATATTCATCAAAATTAGAAAATTAAAGATATCATCACAAACTGAACAAATCTGAGAGAGGTCCACATGTGTGGTACCTATATATGTAATATAAAAGCAATCAGACTTGCTGTTTTCAACAAGAAGTCGAAAATATCACTCTTTACCAAAAATATTCATCAAAATTAGAGAATTAAAGATATCATCACGAAATGAACAAATCGGAAAGAGG